CTTACGTCTATTTCTGCTCCGGCATTCCGCATTTGCCGCAATCGGCGGCGCCGTTTTCGCCCCGCCGCTCCGAGCAAGACCACTTGGCTTGATCGCAGATGCGGCTCATCTCCATACAAATGAGCACGCGCGGGCGGGCTGGGCTTTTCCCTTTTTGCCGTGGTGCAGCGTTAGTGTGAGCGGCCTCGCTCGCAGCGCCATCTCTGACGGGAGGATGCCGCGCTGATCTAAAACCCCGACACTGTCACATGTTGAGCGATGTCGAGCCGACCCGGGAAGAAATGGCCAAACGTTGTCCGGACCGGGAAGAAATATTATTGCAACAACCCCACAGACGAGCGCTAATTAGAGCGCAAATAGCGGCGCCAGATAAATTGCCTTCGCGCGGGTCATCGATCAAGAAGCCCTCCCGAGTCAACGGCGGAGCTCCAGCGCAGACACAATTTTACTTACAATTTTCTCCAAGGGGAAGGGCTCCATTAGACTTTGCTGACCTCTCTTTCTTTCGGTCAACATCCCAACGCTGATCGTTTTCAAGAACTCCCACAAAAACGCAGTCGGAAAACTCGGCTGCACCTCAAGATGGAACTTTCTTTCCGCCACGACAATGAAGGAAAACAACGGCCGCCATTCTCACAATTGTGCGAATGAAACGTGCCGGGGATTGACGCAAATGGAAACGTGAGCGACTTTTGCACCATCCAAAAGCGATGAAATAAGAAAAGGACAAAGACGAGCAACCAAATGCACAAAGACTTGAAAATATACTTTTTTTTTTAACTGAAAAAAACAAAAAAAAACATTGAACAGAGATGGCACAAATATGAGAGAAAGAGGAAGAAAATGTTTGTCGAAACATGACAAAAATATTGGAGAAAAAAAAAAGAATATTCAGACCAATGCGGAAAAAACTGAAAAAAAAAATATTTGGGAAAAATAGAAAAGCCTTGGGAAAATTCCATAAAAAATATAGATCCACATTTTAAACGATATACTGTAAATATAAAAATGAGAATGTAACAACAAATTCTAGACAAAATGGAAAACGTGTGAAAATGTAATCCTACTGATTGAATGATGGGAAGCATCTGGCTCGGGTAAGGGTAGGAGGGGGATGGGGGGGGGGGGCATTGAGGGTTGTTATCTGTGTGCACTCTTGAGTTTTACTCGGCGGCATTTCCATTCCGCTGACGATTTGGAGGAAAACGACCATTTGGAGAGTCAAGATGAAGAAGAGCCTCAAAGTGTCACGTTTGGTTTTTGAAAAGCCTCGTGTTCACGTCCAAAAAAGAGAAAAAAAAGTGTGGCGGCAAAAATAGGATGTGTACAGATTTGTTCCATGAGCGCCCACGTTAACTCAAAACACTTTGTGTCATCTTTCCCCCACTGACGTATTTGAAAACAAGGAGAGCCACGACAAAGCGAGCCAGACAAAGTAACAACGCTCACAGGCTTTGGTTAAACTCTGCGGAAGACAACTCCCGTATTTTGCAGACTACATGGAGTGCTTAAAATCCGTTAATTTCTCCAAAATGGACGGCGCGACTTTTAATCAAGCGCGCCTTATGTACGGATGTCGGCTTTTCAATTCCTTCCGATTTACGCTCACCTTATGCTCTGAAAAATACGCTCTACGAATGAGTACACGTTCGCAAAAATGCACTCTTGAAGACGAGAATCAAAGTCAAATCAACTTTAACTTATTTGCTTCCGTTTCCCTTAACGAACAGTCACGCGCCTCATAAGCCGTCACACTCTAAATATGGACATTTCCCCCCAAAATAGACTGCACACATCGTATTTTTTTTTTCTCAATGTGCAGCATAGCTGGCTCGCTATTTTGATAAGCACGACAATCTTGGTCATTCCGACGGTGCTGTGAAACGTTCCGACTGTCGGGAGCATGATCCAAACCGACGCGTCGGGTTGCGGCAGACGGGGAGAGCTGACAGATTGCCAAAGGTGAGCGTGTTCCTGGTGATCGCCGGGAAGAAATGAGCTTTCATGTCAACAAAGACACCGTCGAAGCATTGGACGCCGTCGTTTGCGAGAAGCAATAACAAGCATACGTCAAGGGCAAAACATCTCCCAAGCATACTGTCGACATTCGCCCGAGGCGGGTGGCCTGAATGGAGCTGAAAATTTGCGCGGGATGCGCCAGGCGTGACGGGAATGCGGTTCTGCAAACCCGTCTTATAAAATGGCGATTCATTTAAAAAAAAACACAAAAAAACCCGGCAACTGCCGTTGGGTCAAATGACACGAAGCGCCCCGGGTACGCATCCGCAGAAAGATGACCCAGCTAAATGGGAGCCGTTCTGAAAGGTCAATTTGACCGCTCTGAATTGTAAACAGTGAGGCCGTTTGACGCGAGCGGTCATTACGCCGCGTAATCAATCATCACTTCTGTTATGATTGTGACTCATTAATTTTCCTGGAATGGATTTGGACAAATGGCCAATTAGTCAGCGCTCGTAACACGGCGACGCCGTCCGATCTATTAAATCCGCCGACCTATTATCACTGGATAGCAGATTAAGCCATAAATCTACTCCCTTCTGCGTATGCAAAAGAGGTTTTACGTCAACGTTTGGCTCAGGCGACGGGCAGAACCCTTGACGAATCGCATCGCTTTGAATTCGATCAATCGTGGGGAGTGGATCGTTCATCGTCTTCATGAATTCATCGTGTTTGGAAGCCAGCGAGGCAAAACGGAGCGCGCGACTTGATGCTAGCCGGGACGAGGCACGGGTGGCAAACACAGTCGAAAAAAAAAACTTTTCCCGAAATGAGTTTGAGAAGGCAAACGTGCAAAGGAAAGAAGAGAGGCTGACACAACGTCGGCGTAACGCACTCAGTTGAGCGAAGCAAGCGCGAGGAGAGCCTCGCGGATAAATTCGCCATCTCTCATCTTGACAAATAATGGCCAGAAACAGAATGCGGAGTTGCGGCTTGCCGATGCGCCACACACCAAACACGGCATGGATGCCACTCGCCGAAGGTTGGAAAACTAAATCCAACGTTAACTTTGGAAAATCAGACCACAGCGTTTGATCACGCGATGAGGTGATTCATTGATAACGAATCGATTATCAAATGTATCGATGAATTTTCATACCGCATGAATCGCTTCGCATTTTTCAATTGAAAACTGTCAAAACGCTCGGAGTTCTCAGCTTCTCGACGCGAGCAATTGAGGACAACCGGCTGACACAAGGCAATCGGCGTCATCGGGAGGAGAAATGACTCAACTGCGAGTGCACCCTTCAGATTTTTCCCAAATGTTTTCTTTCATCGGGCCGGCGTGAGCAAATGACACTTTTCAACCGCGTCAAGTGGTCAGAGTGCAGCTTGTATCACACAATAAATGGACTCGCCCCTGAAAAGTCCAAATCGCTGGCAACAAAACTGAAAGTGGGGCCCGATGAGCCATTTTCCCATCCCAGGAATGTCATGTGACCGGGATGTGTCATTGGAAATCCCCTGACTGGCCACCGCGAGCTCGACGTGGCACCTGCCGGCCAAAAAAGCCTCATGTTGATGCCCGCGTTTCGGGCAGGGGTCATTGCAGCAATGATCAAGAAAGCAGTCGGCCCCGCTGCTCGGATTTGCATTCGGAGCTCCCGGGTGAGCGAAACTGACTGGTCGCGTGGTGGGCAAGTGTTTGAAATGCGCCTCAGCGACACACAAGAACAGAGGCGACAAACAAGACTCGGTCGCCGGTGCCGCTGCAGTTTTGGACGAATTAAAAATGGTTTCATCGGTCAATTGGAGTTCAGCCAGCGCCTTCCTTTGCGTGAAATTAGGTCAGAGCAGTCTTTGTTTATTTGTGGCGAATGCTGCTGCGCTTATTAACTTATGACGAGATTTATTCTCCGGCGATGAGATGGCGAGCCCGCTCCGCCGCGGAAGACGTCTCATTCGTGCTCATTTTGGGTTTCCAAATTCAGTGTGTTTTTTTTTTTTTTTTTTTTGTCAAACAATCACGCTCTTGGGATGATGTCACCACATCATCACACTTACGAATCACAAATATTCATCATGTTAGAGGAAACAATTGTATTTTTACCGGACTACTTTTTGAACAAACAAAATGTAAACCGTTTTCAGTGGAAAACTGAACTTTCCGGCTTTTCTGTACAGCAGTAAAAGGTGTTCTTCGCAGAGGAAGACAAATATTTGCTAGTGAGTTTTGTTTGACTATAGTCTGTCTACATGTGTTGCTCCACCGTGTGTGTTCATACATCCAGTGCTTGACTGCCACATAGATGCTAATTGTGAGCCCTTGTGCAAACAGAGTTTCTTGTATGTTAGCATTGAGGTAGCGGAATCTAGGTGGTTGTATTAAATAAACAACGTATAAATGTCTTTGTTTGATGTTTACTTTGAGAGTAACTGTCAGCTGAGCGTGGCAATATACAACTTGAAACCTCTTTTTGGAAAAACATTGACTAATGACATTGATATGCCAAACTGCTGCTAGGTGTTAAGTGATTTGAGTCACCTGGTGCCATACGGTGCTCCTATCTCAGTTTTCATGACTTGCAAGCCAAAGGTTGCAAAAAAAAGCTCTAAAACTCCTACGTAAAGCCATTCGTATCTCAAGGCATCACAACAGAAAAGGTGTCTCGGCGAAAAATAAAGGATAGAAATCACTGCGGTCAATTTTACACACACGCACACGCGCGCGCACAAACACACGCACACACACACACACGCACTAACTCATTTCAAGGGCAGGTGGTTTGGATCGTGTTCCATTTGTCATTTATCGACTTCTTTAGCCAGCAAACAAAAAGTTGTGTTCAAGTTGGAAAGTACCCCGCTCCATCACTCAACTCAGCTGTGCAAGTGGAGTCGCTATTCACGACTCAATATTTACTCTCCGTCTCTTGGCACATTCCACATAACCTACTAAGATGCCGGTGAGTGTGTTTTTTTTCTCCCGATTAGTCAACAGAAGATGGACATTTACAGAGGGTGAAAAGAAGTTTACTCACCAAATTGAGCACCGTTTCCACGATATCCCGGTTGCTAACCTCCCCAGCTTGAATGAGTCCGCTGAGAACGGCAAATTTGGTTTGTATATCTCGGATAGGAACCGATGGGTCGATGATGCCCGCCTGCTGCAGCACCGAACCCGCGCCGGACATCGCCGCCTTCTCGACGGCGGCCGGGCGAAGCCCGCTGTCACCTGGCGCAGGTGGTCGCTCCGTGATGGGCATGGAGCCTGGCATGGTCCCCGCCGAATTTCTGCTACTGCTGCTGCTGCTGCTGCTGGCGGCGGCGTGCGCCCCGAGCGCCGAGTGTCCGACGCTGGTTTGGAGACAACCTTCTGCTGTCGCCGAGCTCAGGAGAGAACCACCGGGGAGAAAGCGCGCAGAAACCCGGGGCACAACCCGGCTCGCTCGGTCGGTCGCGTGGCAGCTGGGCAGCTGGCCGTTAACTAACCCACGCCGTGTCCCTGTCTGCTCAGCTGTGCGCGCGCACGTACATTCCGCTCAGCCGTCCGTGTGCTTGGCGTGCGCGTCTTCCCCTCATCTCGGATGTCACCGTTGGAGTCTGAGGCGCTTTCAGCGCCACCCGCTGGCGACTCCCTCGAAGTGTCCCAATCACTCAACTGCGGGTCGATTTGAGGCAAAGCGCGTGCGGGTTAAGGGCTACTAAAGAGCGTGAATGGTCTAATTGAAAACGTGTGAAAGTCGGAAATGGAACAACAACCGCGCGGTGGAGAAAAAAAAAAGCTGTCGACAACTGCAGCACCGCGGCTGCAAGACAGAAAGGCGGCCATGTTTGGCTGCCAAATGAACTTGGCCACCTGAAACCGAAACCGACGCCGACAAGTGACCGCGCGCTCAAACTTTTGGAAACGGGGTTCTGTTTGAGGTTGCCGTCGTCTTTGACCGCCCCCCTTCGTGATAAATTATGCTAGGTTAGCTGATAATGCTTAAGACAACTTCACGTCAGCTAGTACATGTGTGCTAGGTTAGCTGTTAACGCTTCAGACAACTTCACGTCAGCTAGCAAATGTACGTGTTGCAGCTCCGAAGCAAACAGAGCTGTCGTGGTGGTTTTCAGAACATTCACTTTATTAATTCGTTTCACACTGAAGCGAATACAGGCACGTCGATGTCGGACTACGTGCCTTCTCAACTGCCGTTCTACTCGAGAGGCGTTCAGGGCCGCCTCTGAAAAAACGTAAATTAATGATCACTTGACTAACGCCCAGAAAAGTGAAAACAATGCAAAAAAATAGAAAATACATTGAGTAACATATACAGTCTCCTACATACGTCTGAGTTCATTGTGAACCCTGGAATGTGTGAATGTGAGTATGTAACAACACAAGTCCCTCCCCTCCCAGAAAGACCAACGTCACTAAAAAGAACTGGAAGAAAGGAACAATACGGTATGAACATTTTGTCAATATGTTAAGAACAAGGGATGTTATGGTATTTTAAAAGCTTCATCAAACTTTCTCCATTGTCATATTTGAATGGCAAGCAAGCGCTGCATTTTGAGTCCAGATAAGCATCGAGTGACATGGTCCGAACACAGACCAGATGGATCGCGGATCCCAAAAACGCAGACCCAGATAAATGGTGATACAAAAATATTTATTTAAATATATATTTATTTATGGAGCTTGCGCTTTCAAACAGCATGCGAGTCCACATAACGAGATGACGCATCGCCGGGAGTCACCTTCGGGGAGGCGGGAGGTGGTTCTTCCTCGGATCTTGTCGCGGTCGGTCGAAACAGGGTCCTTACTGCAACAGCCTCACTTCGATCATCGCCACCTGCTCCCCGCTTGAGCAGGAGAAGAAGGGGGAGGAGAGAGGACGGACACGGGGGAGGAGCAGCAGTCAAACAGGCCAAAATCCCCATGTCAGGATATACGGACAGCGGGGAAAGAGGCAAATTGGAGTCAATCAACTGAAGTCAATCAACTTTTTTCATGTTTTTTTTTTTAGGAGTAGTGTGACATTATCATGTCATTTCTATTCCTTTTAGTTAAGAGGCGGCTCCTGCCTGCAACAATCATGACACGTTAGTGTTGCTTCCAAAATCACCAGTAGAGGTCGCTCTCTACTTCATCAGACAAATGACTGGACTCGGATTTCAACTCCGGTCATGACTCGTGCACTCGCTGTCTGCTGTGTGACTTGTGCGTACCTGGTTTGCATGTCGGAGTCAATGGAACAAAAGCACCCGATCAGTCTGATAGATTTATTCCAAACAACCATTCAATCAAATAAACAAACAAACGTGTGTTTTGCTGTCACCAGCACACGCAGTCGCCAAAAGCCGGTTTGATGGAGTCAAACCTTATGTCATTCGCAGCCATGGGAGGTCCAAGTGTGACACAAACAATTTTCATTTCAACGCCAAAGTAAAACCAGTTTACATTTTTTGAAAGATGACACGATCGATCGGAAATTACCGTACCATCTGCAATATATACACCTTGGTGGCATGTACAGTATATTCACACATTTACAATAAGAATAATTATAGCTTTCCATCTTAAAAGGATTATTATGTACGCGCTTCCCAGAAGCGTATGAGAGCTTAAATGTCCTAGACATTGGATATGACCGCAGTAATGCATTCCGCCATACGCAGACACAACATTAGACGGTACTGCGGAGGATTTCCGAGATCAAAGGCATTGAAGTTTGAGCATTCGCTTCCCAATGAGTCCATAATTTGTTACTGTGCAAATGAAAAGAGGAGCTCAACATTCGATTCAACTGTGCCTTAGCTTGAGGGGGGGTTCAAAGTTGCTCTTTCACTTCGCCACGACGGAAAAGGCTCAAGGGTTTCAGATTTTGGTCTCCGGACCATCCGCGATGAGCGGCTGAAAGGAGTTGCGGATGCGAGCGGCTTCCGCCGCACAAATGTGGCCGAAGGCTTTGTTGTACCATTCCGGAGTCCTTCCCCTGAAAGCAAAACAGCGCCTTAGCTCCACTTGATTCATTGTGCGCATGCATTCGAGTACGACATCCTCATCATTTTGAAGGTGACAAGGCGGTTCGCAATGAACGACTTTGCGCGGAGCAAGAACAGGTGGTCAAGCGGCGCGAGGCTGTTGCCGTACTTCCTGTTTGGCATTCAAATGTTTCCACTAATGGCCTAAATGTGTTGTTCAGACAAATATTGACTGTAATTACGATTGGACTCCTGCATTAGCGTAAGTTGGTGATAGACTACATCGTGTTTGGCCAAATTCGGTTTGCGTCTGGAGCTATTGAGGTTTGGATAAGGAGGCACGCTCAGTGACGGCTGTAGTTCCGCTTCTTTATCGGATGTTTGTGTCTTGATGACATCAAAGGCTTTCTCATTACATTTCCGGTAATGGGGGGAGATTTGTATTGCTTTCGCCGAAGTTAGTGGTGGACTTCATCGCGCTTCGACTTGCCTACAAATTTTGGGTGACGTCGCCAGCGTAACAACGGGAACTTTGTGGTCAGCCGAGGACTCCCCCCTCTGTATCTTGGTTGTGCCTTTTCTTGGATTTGTGACTGACAGCCTCGTGTTCAAATACACGGATTTCAATCGTCACTTACTTCAAATCCACTCTGCAAATGTGAGTCAGCCTGGACTTCCCTGAGCCGCAGGGCTCGAGCAGGTAATTGGACTCCAGGACAATAGCTCGAACCGCTCCGACGGGAGGACAATCCTCGTGCTCGACTGAGACAGAAACCAGGGAACAGGTGCCTTTGGGTAAGTCCGTCCTCCATGACCTTGGGGAAAGAATGAAACCGCTGCTTTATGCATACGGAGTTCGGTCGCGACATCTGCCGGCGTCACAAACTCACCTGAGAACCACAAAGTCTCGGCTGGGATGAGGCGGCATGCGATTGAGGACGTACTGAAAGACCTCCGTCTGCTTGTCCAGCGTCTCGCACAGTTTCCACTGCAGCAAGTCAACATCCCACAGGTGGCGCTCCCGCAGCACGCGGTTCAGGACGACGGATGGCGGCGCCTCCACCTCCACGGACACCCTCCAGCGTCTCAGCGGGTTCCCGTCGCCCACCTGGAAGCGGTCGAACTCACGTGACGCGCGGTGATCGTGCGATCGAAAGCGGCTCCGAATAGTTGAGGGGGCACCTTTTTGTAGTGGAGCTCCGTGTTATCGGAGCTGCTGCAGGACACCCAGGATTTGGATTTCTCACGGGCCTCTTTGAGCAGGTTTTCGAGTCTCCCCTCGACGTGGTTCTCGTGTGTTCCGTTCTCGTCCTCCAGTTGCTTGAAGAGCTCGTCAAATGTGGGCGCCTGGAGGGTGGCCTCCACGTACGAATTGCGCGACTGGGTGACCATTTCGCGAGGGATCTAATTGGACAAAGGAGAGAGGTTGTACGTGCGACCGTCCCAAGCTTGAGGACAAAACAACAGCCGGTTGTTGTACCTCAAAGAGACGGCTGCACTCTGTGATCATGTGAGCGAGACCCTGCGTCGCCGCCAAATTTTCATTCAGGTCCTTCTGGTCCGGCCTGCCGCTCGCGTACTTCTTCTGCATTGCCCTGAGGGCGACGGGAACACAGAGCCCATTAAGGCCAGAGGAGCGAGGTCGACATCTCGAAATGGCGCGCGCGATATAAAGCCCGCCCTTTGGCTTGGTGGGCTGCATCTTTTGATGCTTTAGTTCGGCAACTTCATTGCGGTAAATTAGAGAGCTTTGCTTTGTTTGTACTCAGCATGATGTCGTAAAACGCCGAGCCTTCAAAAAGAGCGGCCATCCTTTTAAAAGAGTCATCGACTGCACCCCCGAGGGCTTCGAAAACTCTGTCAGCTTTTTTTATAGAGTCGCGGGTGAAAATAATGAATGAGGAGTTCAGAGCAGGCGCACGCATTTTGTGCAGAGTGACACTATGGAGGCATCTGGTTAGCTTTTACCTCGGGGAAAGATTGTCCTTCTTGAGTATGTTGAGGTGGAAGAGCGAGGGCGCCAGGCACACCGCAATGTTCATGGGCGTCATCTGGTTTTCCTCCACCGAGGACGTCACGTCGCTCAGGAAACAAAGTAGCGTCTGCAGCACCTCTCGGTTTTCGTCCGACATCAACATAATGGCAGCCTGGACAGCCTGCAATCTTTGGTCCTTGGGTACATCTGCATATTTCAAGGCATTTATTGTCAACCGCCTCTGCGACATCAGAAGCGGACGCCAGAGTGCCGAGGCTGAGCGTAGTGTCCTTACATTGGTAGATGTGGAGGAAGGTTTCCCCAAGCTTGCTGGTGAGCAGCGGCTCCGGGAGATCCCGGAAGAATTGTTTCACCATGTCTGCCACGTCGTAAGCTGATTGGTCCTCGTAGTCCACGTTGTCCGGGGAGCTTTCGTTCAACTGCCTTAGCGCTTGGATCCTGGATTTTACACCCGATTTACGAAAGAGTCCCACCTGGCAGCGAAACAAACACACGTTGACGTCGGACTAGGGCTGCTGACGGCACGACGGGAGAGCGAGCCGTTGCGGGTTCATTGCCCGCCTTCTTGTGATGCCGTCTCTTGTACAACAGGCTGTGTCATTGTTCGCGGAAACCATCCACCCCATTGTGTGCATAAACTCAAGTCAATCCCCTGTTACACACGCAAGCTGAGAGCGTGCACTCTGGCTGACCTGGTCAAGACATTGGCTCCTCAGGTACCGCAGGGCCTGCTGCAGGCCCAGGGGCAGCGGTTGTCCGGAGCGCTGCACGTGAACGATAAGAGGCACGCCAAACACATTCTTATCCTTGTAGTCCGGCACCTTCATTCTCTTCATAAACTTCGGCACTGCCCTAGTGATGAACAAAAGCACATTTGGGTCAAGTCCAAGACATACATTGACACACTCGGTCCGACTGCAAAGTGTGTAAAAGATGCTGACCAGGTCCAGCCGTGTTTGTTTGACAAGGAGTACTTTTCCATGATGGCAGTGAGACGGAGCAGAGAGAACCTCTGTAACAAACTCAGCTGGCCTGCCGACTGGTTGGTTATCTGCAACGATGCCACCGAGTGGCTGAGACGATTTGATATCTGAAAGCTGGGCCATCGCAAACTGGAGTGACAAAAGAAACCGCAAAGTCAGTCCTCTGCAAGAAAGGCCACGTGATCATTTCAGCCATACGGGTAAGTCTTACCGATTGGGTCTTGTTAGGGAAGCCCCTACCCCCGAGTCTCTCCTTTCCCCGAGTCTTGTCGCCTCCGTGTCTGAAAGAGACACGCCGTCTCCAGCACTCGGCGCAGTCTGGCTTTCCGCCACGGAATCGGCCTCAAAGTCGAGCGTGATCTGACTTAAAGACTGCAGGCCGACCGTATCGTCCCTTGCTCCGTCAAGCCTTGACACCGCGTCCCCGCCTGGCAGAACATTTTTGGACCAGTGGTCTACGATCTGCTGCAGACCGCTGACATGCATCAAAATGTCATCCAGGTGAGGAAACAGGTCTTCTTTCTCCAGATCGATGAGGTCCCCGGTGCTGGCGTAGAGATGAGAGCCGGGGACGTTGTCATAAACGCTGATGCGGCTTCCTCGAGAACAGCACTGGGTGATAGGCCTGGCTTCCTGCCGGCAGGAAATGAGCGCCGAGTCCAGGTGCATGCTGCCTGTGCGCCAGTTGACCGAGGCCCCGTTGGTTGGCGAGAGGCTTTCAATGGACAGTGCTTTGGGGAAGGTTCCTGGCTTGTGGTCATTAGGAATATGGACCACCAGGTCCTCGTAGGAGCAGAATTCATTGATGCGATTTTGTTCTGCGACCTGGTTGCCTGAGAAGATGTCCACGTCTTCTAAATACATGCCACTGCGCTTGTGGTCGCTCCGGTACAGCTTGCGATCTTTAAGCCTGGGTGTGCTGCCTGCACTTCCACCGGAATGGCTGCTGCCTTCGCTGCCGGACTGGGACGGAACCTTATGGGACGGCAGCTCCGGAGTGCCGCCATCTCCGTTTATGATCTCCGCACACGGCAGCGTCTTGAGGGCGCGGGCCTCCCGCTGCAGCACCGGCGAACTGATGACCAACGGCTTCCGACCCCTCGCGAGCGCTCCCCGGGAGCGCAGCGTCTCCATGCGCTTCAGGAAGTCTTTGGCACGGGTGCGACTTGTCTTGCCGTGCTTGTGGGGCAGTGAGCCATAATGGCTGATGTCTTTTGCGATGTGAGACATTGTAAGCAGCGTCAAGTCTGGCATGGCGACGGAATCTGGGCAGGTGCGGTTGGAACCGTCGGAGTCCTCGGTGCCGAAACCCCGAGGCCCACTGCCCCCACTGCTCTCACTGTGTACCGAGGATACTTCTGGCTCACTGAGGTCCGTTAGGACACTTTCGCTGCTGGTCGTGGTTCTTAGAGGCAGGCTGTCTCCAGCGGACGGATCTAATCCTCGGTTTCCCAGGAGACAGTCAATGTCCTGCAGCCTGGACCAGCGTCTGCTGCTCCATTCAAACGTCCATTTGTCACTAATGGCAAACAGGTCTTCCTCGTCAGAGTCTTCGCTCTGGCGAAAGACATAAAACATCAAATTAGGGAGTTGGAAGACAGGACCGTTTTTAGACCGTGAAAGCTTAATTTATGAAATACTTTGGCGATGACAAGAACAGAGACGCCACCTGAGGGCATGCTGCTCTCATACGACCACATTTCTCCTCTGTATTGTCACTCAGGAACCTCTTTTACGGGATAAATAGGTTAGACTGGCATGTGTAGGATTACCGAGAGTGGATCGTTATTACCAGGAAGGACAATGAGTGTGACCTGCCTGCAGGGACTGGAGGAAGCATCTGCTCCAACTTAATATACTATTACGCTACCAGGAAACAGTGATGCAACGCTACTCTTTTGAAAAGACCTGCCTGCAGGGGCCGGAGGAAGCATCTGCTCCAACTTAATACTATTACGCGACCAGGAAACAGTGATGCAACGCTACTCTTTTGAAAAGACTGCCATAAATAGAGCACGCTACTAAAAATACCTCCGACGATAATGCGTGCTAAGTGGGCGAAAGATTAAAAACGAGCAGGGACATCTTGGCGACATCCTGGCAATATATGCGGATGTCAGTCAGCAGTCTTGGGTTTTCTGCTTCACGTAAATAAGACTATGAATCACATTTACTTCCAGGCATGGATAGTTTGACATATTCAAAGCTTGGGAAATATTCAAACAGCCTTGAAGCAATCAGAAATCCCGTCGAATGATGTAATGAGAATCCTGCGGAATTCTTACTTTCTTCTTTGGGAGGCTGACATCAAGTTTCAAGGAGGCACACTTATTTAAGGTGTTGAGTCGCCTGAAAGAAGAAAAACAAAACAAGAAATTATATATGTCAGCATACGACAGGAAATGCACAAATTGTCATTTAATGAGAACTCCAATGATGGCGCTCCCTTCGGATGAGACTTTGTTTCAGCGGTGTAATTCGCTTTGGTTCCGGACCAATGTCCACATCCAACCGGAAATTCCGTTTGACAGCTGACAGCACGTCGTCCATGCACGGAAAGTGATGATCGGCGATCTTTAATCGTGCTCATTTGCAGATATGCGCTCAACCAAGGAGAAGCTTCAATTATCGTCTGGTCGGTCAATCATTTGCGTAGTCAGAGGAGTGCTCAACAAACAACAAGGCTCGTGTGTGCCTTTGCTGGTTTAAGGTCACTGTTCGGTTCATATTTAAGTGAAATGTACTATAGGTACGGTGTGATATAATATAGTTTGTCTTCTTTTTAGGATATGAATAACGGCAGGGATTTAAATTCTCGCGGGCTGAAGTGAACGCCGCCGAAGGTATTCTTACGAGCTGTGCAAACTAGGTCACGGCAAGGCGTTAAGTCACCTCAAAATTTTCTGAGGACTGACCATGCGGAGATGTATCACGACACTTTGGATTTTTTATTTTCACCACGATTGAGGCATCGGTCACCGACAGTCAATGGGCTGCGACTTTCGGGGTTAGCTCAACAAGTTCCCATAGTTGTTACTGTAGCTAGCAGGACACGGCGAAAGGGAGGATTTCTCAGCCGGGGCCCCTTGAGTCCAAAAGGCCTCCAGAGCTTTGAATGCGGCGGCTAAAAGAAGAGGCTTCTTAGCAAGGGCAGGCACGAAATATCAACTGAAATCAATCGCAGCTACAGCGCCTTTGAGTCGGAATTGCTCACTCCAAATGTTACCATAGCGATGGCTGGAATCACACTGCAGTTGGAAGAGTTTCCACTGGTGTTCCATTTGTCCCCGTGGCCACTTTGGAATTTAGATGAGTTGCTTTAGGGCTGTTTAGAGTCACAGTATGTCGAGCGGCGCGAAGCGCCCTCGCACTCCTCCGGCTTTTTCCTCTCTTCCTTGTTGCTATGGTTACTGTGGCGGGCCAAATGTCTTTTTTCTAACTTCTTGGAAGAGAAGCTCAGTCCTCTGACATCATGGAGTGACATGGAAGCAAATTTTATGGTGGCACTTAATGCACTTGGACGTTGTAAAAAAAAAAAAAAAAACAAAAGAAAAGAAAAAGCCTCAAATGGATAAATAGTGCACATCTCGTGTTTGTTGAGCACAATGAGCTCAATGCTCGAAGTCACTCATATTTTGTTAGCATTCCCACTATGACTGCTCAAGGTTAGTTTTCCAAGCACAACCTTATTGAAATATCAAAACGTTTGATGTCTTTACCTGCAAAGAGGCTCAACGAGATCTTTGTCCAGGAAGTCATGGTCTCGTTTCACAGGGCTGATGTCAATGGGGAACTGGGAATCTTGAAGGCCAAGAAGACAGTCGCATTAAAAGAGGTCCTTTGCGTCTGGGCATCGATGGCAACATTGAAACAGGAAGTCCAACAAGCGAGAGAGGCAGCATCTCCCCCCAGAAGCCAACTTGTGACACTTGTGTAGTATTTCATGCGCATGAGAAGGGACGGACGGAATTTGTCTGAGTCGCGGCGCTGTTGCTTGTGCGGGATCATGACGTATTGCGCCGGGTATGGGTGTTCTCTTACATAACGCGGTGGACCGCGTCCAGAATCTCTGAATCTAACATTCCGCTGCATTCATGTAAAGTCATTAACTTCTCATGAAAAGCGGGCCGGCGGGCAGCGATGACCGCTCGGACTCAGACAAGGCTCGGGCCTGTTCCTCGGGCTCTTTGGCTTTCAAGCGGCAGCGTTACATCTTAAAACACGGATATCATCCGCAGCGCGGTTTTGGATGAACCAGGAAAGAAACTCGCTTTGAGCGGATTTGCGATTTCCTGCCATGAACCGTTTCTGCCTCGACAGTGGATTTAGCGCTGATGGGCTTGCGTTCCAGTCCAGTCAGCTCACGACCAAGAGGTGGGGGGGGGGGGTGTTCCAATCAGAGCCCAAGAGCTTGGGAAATCAGCTTAAATGTTCACGAATTTCCATCCATATTGACTTTTTTTCCGCATTTCCAAGACTGTGCAGTATTTGTCCAGCCATTCAGTTTCCATCGTCATGGCCAGAGGTGGCAAATCCAGGTCCAGAAAGTAAAAAATGCTTCGGCAGTTTTGGTGATGGAGTGGCTAAAGCCAAATTGTGGCTGGGTCTTTTCCTTTCTGCACCTGGATTTGCCACCTCTGATCGCGGCCATCTTGATGTCGTCCACGTCTTCAAAACGGGGGCCTCTTGACGAGGCGCCTCGAGCTTGGGGGGAAAAAAAATTCACACGGCGCCACGTAGGAGGGCCACGCTCAAGGGATTGTGAGGGGGGAAAACTTGTAGTCTGTGCTTCTGGGGTTTGAAATGTCTTGTTCTTTTTCAACCCTGGAATTTTTCTGATACGGCTCACTGCCAAAAGCCTGTCCCAAAAGTGTCTTGGGTTCATGTTGTAACCCGAGCAGATGTTGGCCTTGTTTTCGTCTCATTTGGTCGGCTCCGGATCATCTCCGGGACTTCAATGAGCTCCACTATGCACGCGGCCCATGAATGCACGGAATTGTGGCGTGGCCGACAAGACCGACTTCTGTGCCCGCTCGTCGGAAAAAGGCCGCATTCATCTCGCGAACAGCGGCTTGTTTCACACCCACTAAAATAAAAGCTCTGCGGGGGTTATTTTGGTTTACGATCTTCGCGGCTCTCACCCGGCAGCCTCTTCTACTTTGTGACGAGCTTGGGAGTTTTCACAGTTACCTTCAAAGAGTTGAGCATACTGGGGAAACCCGGCGGCCCGCAGCCAGTCGCACGCCTCCTTCGCCTCGACTTCTGCAAACACAGGACAGAGCGTGGCGTAAGGGGGACATACACGACTCGCAAAAAAAAAAAAATCTTTCGATGTTGTCACCATCCAAGCTTTTGGTGGCGGCGGGATTACAGTGTGGGCAGGTGTGTCCCGATACACTTTGTGAATCATCTTTTGTCACCTCATCCAGTGATCGATGCTCATAAGTACATGACGAGTTATTGAGATGAGATTTTATGTGGTGGTGTACCCATCATTGTTGTTAACTTTTCTTTCCCCGAATAGTTTGAGATGAGGAAATCACCAGCGCATCCTTCTACTTCGATGTCCTACTTTCATGATATGATATCAACGTAGCGTGAACTTTTTACACTTTCCATCTGAAAGCCCAAATTTTCTGTGAGTAGTACATTTTATATATCCATATATTTCAAGCATTTTTTTTTTCAACATTCAACGGTGTCTTCAAAACGTCTGTGCCGTGCTTTCGTCGAAACGCCGCAATGATCAAGAATGACAGCACACTCATCATCTTGTTCTGTCCTGGGAGGCAGCCCAGTTTCAAATTAGCCACTGCTCTCCCTGCAACCCCCGACAGTGGGGTTTGCAAGGCGACAACAGATTTTGTTGCCGTGATGACGAGGGCCGGAACTGGAAGGTGCTTACTTGTTGAATCCCCAAGTCTAAAAAGAGCAAATCCCCCTTCACGGATGGTATTTTCCCTGATGAAAGCAGAACTTCATCTCCAAACCACCGAATTTCACTCGCCAGTCGTCAGTGCTTTCCACTGGTAGGCGCCATCTGGAACATTCCAACGGCTTCTTTCCCCTTGCCATTCACTTCTTCAAGAGTTGACTCCAATTCATGTGCCGCTTTGCCATTTTTCGCATCTCTGCAGTGCCGTTAGTGATGTTTTCATTCTTGTGGTTCTGTCACTCCTGGGCATTTGCACCATTTTGTTGTTCATCCGTATTACGGCACTTATTGTTCAATCCATTTTTGTTCTTTGTTACCCGGTTCCCAAATGTTTGTCTTATCAATTAAAATAGGCAGCTCACAAAAAGATTTATGTGATTGTACACTTTCACATCTGATGGGTAGACAGTCACTCCAGGGACTGTCTTCTCCATCATGTGGCCCCTTGAAGAACAGGAAGCCGAATGAACTGAAACCGCAGTGAGGTCAGTTTCATTCTGACTTGACCCAAGTGACGCATTGCACATGGATGGAAAAAGCTTCGCCGACTTCTCCAGACGTGTGGGTGTGTTGGCCTGGGGCGCAGGGGGGCGACTACCCCCGCCAATTTTCCATCCGCCCCACCCCCCAACATGCTTGATTATTGGCAGGCAGATAGCAGGGACGTGACCTTGCTGGTCAGCCGACCTGACTCACATGATCCGGCCCTTTCACATGGACCTCATGTAACCAGCAACCAGGTCATTTGACTCTTCAGGAGGCCTCCAAGGCACGACATGTCCCGCTGAAGCTGTTGTTTGCGTGCGTCGGTGAAAACATGGACACGCTAGTAAAAAAAAAAAAAGCAGCCTGCTAGTTTTAGTTCAATTCATCTAACCAGACGCTCGCCAGACCCCTCATTAGCTCCTACCTGCACAAGTTAACGAGATCTAATATAAGAGGCGCATTAAAAAAGCAAAGTTCTGCCAACATGAAGCAATAGGGTCGCGTGTCACTCTTCATAAATTCAGCAATTTGCGTTTTGGGCTCTTTCCTAAACACCCTCAGATGCCACACGATGGCGCCAAAGCCCTGTCTAATAGGAAAGTAGGAGAGTAGTAGTAGAGTCAAGGAAGCATGTTTTTTTTTCCTTTCGTTTCATTCCTCCACAAAGTGTCTCCAGTCGGTCCAGAATGCTGCCGCTCTCCTCTTGACTGGTACTCGTAAGAGGGAGCACGTGACTCCTACTCTGGCATCCCTTCAGCTGCTACATTTTAGAGTTCTTTTGACGATCCTATTATTTGTTCTCAAATCTTTTTTTTCAAACCCAACGCACCCGGCCGGTGCCTCAGGTCTGCGGACCGGACACTATTAGAGGTAGCGAGAACTAAATGGCGGCTCAGAGGGGATGGAGCCTTTTCCGTTGCCGCTCCCTCTCTTTGGATTGAACGTTTGGGCAAGCCCCCTCGCTGCCCATCTTTAAAACTCATCTTTAAACTCATTTTTATTCTTTGGCTTTTGACTTGATTTTTAGTTTGACTGTTTTCACGCATTCTGCTGTCTTTGTTATTCATTTGTTGTTGTATCGATTATTTTTGCTCCATGTACAGCACTTTGTATCCAGCCGTGCCCTCTAAATACTGTCGAGTTGAGTTCAAAAGGCAACATTTTGTTACCGTTGTTAGATTTCCTCGAATAGGACGCAAGTGTGACTCCAAACACTCTTTCAAACACACAACGCAGAGACGTCACAAAACAATATGAAGACATCAAGCTGACACGACCCCGCTGCGGCTGTTGACATGGCAAGGAAACAAACTGTTGGCACCTTCCCATTAATGCTAACACAGCTCTTTCCCGCCACCGCTGAGAAACATTGGCTGACACAACGGTGTGACGGGACGCTCGGCATTCACAGAATGGATGAAAAAACCCCTTGCCTCAAATTACATCCATTTTTCCGAGTAACATTTTTTTGGAAGTACCGCCTCCAAATCTTGATGTACCGCCATCATGACCAATATTAAAATACAGCAGCCGCTCGAGCCTTCTCGAGTTTGAACAATTACTTAAGTCTGTTGCATAGAATTTTGAATCGCGATGGGCAACGCAAAATCAAGTCGGCTTCATGTTGAAAAACCAAACATTCATCAAAGTTCCAATCATATATTGAAGCAAAGATTGCTGATCTGATTTCACAACGTGTTTCGGTCTTGTGCCTCCTGCACACATTTTTTTTTTTTTTTTAAATCCAAGTTCCTCTTAACTGCGCACTGAGAGCATATTTCAAGCCACAAAGTGCATCCTCTTTGCGTGTGAATGTCATTCTTTCAAGAAAATAAAAATAAATAACAAATAAACGAACGTTCAAATGAACCTTAACATTCTTTTAGTTTGTACACATCTCATCAACATTTGCGATCAATTCAGCGAGAAGTGGAAAAGGTCATTGAGCCAGTATTTCCCATCCTTTATAAGCCAAAGCAAATATTTGACCGGAGAAAAATCTCATGGCACAACAGCAAACAAATGGCCACCAAGAAGAGTAGCACACAATGACACTCTTCATGACAAAGGTAAATTGCGCCTTTTCGTCTGCTCGCGGAACACATGAAATTGTTCCGCCTGTCACTGTCGCGGGCATAAACAAACAAACAAACTTGGCTACATTATTAGTATTAAGTACAATTTCGGGTGCTCTCACGTGAAATGTGATCATTTGCCGTCACGTATGCTTACCGATGCCACCTGGAATCTTCAACCGAGTAAAATCCAACGTTCACGGGTAACGCTTCTGAGAATAGCGCCGGCTATCCGAACCAACCCCCGAGACTCACTTTTTGCCTCGCTTCGCATGCGTGTGACGACTGGCAAATCAATGAAAAGTGACTTTGCTCTCCAGCCCTGACCACCAACAACTGAATAAATATTAGCAGTTCCCCCGCACCTCCATGTCTGTCCTTGGAAGAGAGAAAAAAAAAAAAAAAGCCTCCACTGTTTACCCCGTCGACACGCCGGCAACAAGGTCTGTTTCTATCTGCCGCGTTCACATCTGCATCACCAGGAGGTCCAGAGGCTTCTGCTCAGCCTCGCCTCCCTCCCAGGTGCTTAATATCCCGTTGTCCCGTATTGTTTCCATCCAGCAGCCACCCCTTCCCTCTCCCACACAGACCCCCCCCCCCCACTCCAAAAGTAACAAGAGCTGGGTATCCCTCCGTGTTTGGCATTCTGTAACGCGACACGGAGACATTCTGTCCTCTCATCCTCTCTCCGAGGAAATCTCCCCTGGCTAAAAGGCTGGGGCGGGCACGATGCCAAAGAATGAGAACTTGTTTGCTCTCGGCGACCCACTGCGCTCGCAACCTGTTTACAGTCTCGAGTTACACGGCCACAAAAGCCGAGACGCGGACTGCCACGATAGCAGAGAATCTCCCAAGATGCGCCGTACTAAAGGGTGTGAGGTGGAGAGAGGGCAAGTTATGGGGGTGGAGTTTGTGTGCAACATTAGGAGAATGCAATTTGACGGTGAAATTGGACGTGTGCGATGAGCTTTGAGGAGAAAGTTTGGCTGTACAATCACGAACAATACTTTAGTCAAGATCTGACACAAAGGCATGGGATGCAATTTTGCACTGCAGAAACTGTCATACGTAAGTGTAGCGTTTTAAAATGCTTCTCCTGGCGCTGCAGATTGCCATCGGCACATAGTCATCATTTAAAAAATAAAAGTAAAAAGATCTATTGCAACAGCTCTGATCGCAAGCAGCAATTGCAGACTGCTGACCGCTAACAACTTTTGGCCATCCAGATCGTGCGCCACTCGGGGTTAAAGCTAGTTTGTTTTTTTAAAAAAAAATTTTCTGTGAAAATTTAACACAAAAATACTGTATACAGACATGAAAATCTTAATTGAAACAAAAAAAAACAAGCCTTGACAATCGACTTGGGACCAGCCCGAGATTGCGATCCACGTGTTGGGCACCCGTTCTTGGGGATAAAATGCAACAACCAGATGTTCTTGGTTTCTGTGCGGAGAGTAAGATGTCATCGTTAAGAAAGTTTCAGCTCATCCTCCTCATGCCCTAAGTCCCGATGTGCTAAAATAAGTCCCTTTGTCGGGACATTTTAGTTCCACTTGCTGTAGTGAAGCCATATTTATGGGAAATTATTTGTGAATCACTTCTAGGCTATCAATATAAAACAATCAATGCATTAAAAAAAACAAAAAGCAAGTCCAGATCGAACTGAGTGTGCCTTGGTGTGCTGCGTGGCCACATATCCTTACGCCGTAGTGCAAACTAGTTCCTTGCGTGCCATTTGTAAGCTCAAAATGTTGCCAGGGCCATCG